AACTCCTCAGATAAAAAGCCTAATGACACCAGATCATGTCTAATTCTGGAACTAAGCAGGGGCAGCCCTGGTAAGTATTTGGATAGGAGACTGTCAGAGGAAGGAACTGGCAAAACTGTCTCTGAATATTATTTGTTTAGAAACCCTATGAAATTAATAGGGTTGTAATAAGTTGACAGATGATTTAAAGACACAGAAACACATAACAGTGCAACACGGAAGTCATCTCAAGCTGACTCTGCTATTTGGACTGATGTAGTACAAATTGCTAACACGTATAGACAAGTAGCAAGTAAAAGATGGGAGTGATATTTCTTTTCCTCTTAATTGCAAGGCTGTCTATGAGTATTGGAAACTTTTAAAATTCATTTAAACCAAGATCACATGGCATTAGGAATAACCTTGGTTCAGGCATGTTTTAAATGATTAATCTTAATGTTTAATAGTAATAATATTTTCATTTTAAACATATGCTTCATTCTGAATGTTGGAGCCCCCAGTGGCACAATGGGTTAAACCCTTGTGCTGACAGGACTGCTGACCAAAAGGCTGGAACTTCGGACCTGGGGGCCAGGGTGAGCCCCCATCTGTCAACTCCAGCTTCTCATGCAGGGACATTAGGGAAGCCTCCCACAGTATGGTAAAACATCTGGGTGACCCCTGGGCAAGGTCCTTGCAGATGGTCAGTTCTCTCACACCAGAAGCAACTTGCAGTTTCTCAAGTCGCTCCTCATGAAAAAAAATCCTGAATATTATGTTCAAAAATTTGAAGAAATAAATTCTATTTATCTTTTAACCTATGTCATTGGAGTTCATATGTAGAGTGGTTTTAGTGGAATATATGAAATATATATGGTGCGAGTATAATGTATTTTTTCCATTTTGCTGCATAATTGATTTCTTTTTCCCCACTTGCATATTTGTTTCTCATCTAATGTCCATGGCGATACTTCTTTGCTCTTCAGCAGGGATCTTACCATTTATTAATACCTGATTGAAAACTGGACCTTCTGTAACCCTTGTCTGATACTGATTTGCACCAAGCAACAGTTATCTGTTGGTAGTTGTCTGAAATTTAACTAACAGCCCGTTGTGTAATTCACTCACCTTTTCACATTTGCACTACAGAAGGTGCTCTACTTTTCTAGGGCTTAGGGACACATGATCCCATAAAAGAGGGAAATATCAAGAAAAAACAATTTTAATCTGAGAGAACACGTTTGTAGGTCCTCCAGTGCAACTCTATGGTCACTTTGCACTGGAACATACCCATATTTACTCGAGTCTAATGCGCACCTCAATTTTCAAAACCCTGAAACCATAATAATGATAATGATGATGATAAGAATAATAATAATTTTTTGCACAGTGACAAAAAGTGTCCTCTTTGTAATTTGGCCAAAAAAGGTGTGAATTACAGTGGTTGCATGCTTATTATTCCTTCTTTAAAAACAAAAGTGTTAGAACACCAAAGCTTTCAGCAATGGCAAATACATTTTTGTGGGGAATCTATGCTGTAGAATGAATCCACTTTAACTACACTGACTGAGTGCTATGGGGTTATGGGGACTGCCAAAAAAGGTTGATGCCTCACCAAACTACAAATCTCAGGATGGCACAGAATTAAATTAGAGATGATATTCCTCAAAGAGGAGGTTCAGGTGCAGCTCCTGAAGTAGTTTCTCCTTTTGCTTTGGCAGTGATAGATTATTTTGCTGTTTCATTTTGATTTACTAGTTTCAGGCTCCAGATTTTCACCCTCCTATAGTTGAGTGCCAAATGTGTAGACATGATATTATGCATTTGAAAAGCACTTGTGAAAATAGTGGAAATCAGGAAACCAGTAAAGAAAAGGTGCAAGACCCAAACATCTGGAAATTTTAGAATGCAGTCAAATGCATATGGAGGGAAAGAGTAATTAGGGACATTGTTTATGTATAGCTTAGAGGAGTGTGGCAGGGCTATACATTAATACCATAGTCAATAGGTTTCAGGCTCATCTCCCAAGAGGTTAAGAAAAGAAGTAGTTACACATGGCCTCAGCATGAGACTGATAAATAAACCTATGGAATCAACCCTTCTTTTGATTTACAAACTTTTGATCTCAGAACCATGCCAATATATTTTTTCAGGGGCCGTCCAATCTTAGCAGTTACTTTGGATTTTCAAAATATTTTCCTAAAAGCATATGATTGTTGGCAATCCATAAACTGAAATGCTGATTGAAAAACGGTGTATCTAAACTGGGAAGAGAATGCATAGGATCACACTTTACTATTTGGTGGCCTGTTTCTACAGATTAGAGATAACCTTCTGCAGCATTTTGCTGTCCCTGAATAATTTTTTGTCATCTGTAAACTTCATTGCTCTAGTCAGAGTGAGACTTGCCCAATATCACCCAGTGATTACAGAACATTACAGAACCTTGGGAAATACATCCCTCCATTCAGAAAACACATCCATTTTTTTCATAGTCTATTCTTGTTTTTTAATTAGTTTCTGATCTTATAAGGGATCTTGTCATAGACTCAAAATTTATACAGGTTTTCATAAAAAAGGATTTTCTCAAAAATGTATGGAATTTTAACATTGCGCCCACATGGTCACTGATACTCTCAAAGAACTCTTAAGCATTCGTGGAAACACTATAGCTTTCCAGATGTTGAACTGCAGCTCCCATCTTCCCATATCAACTTAGGTAGTAGTGAGGTATGCTGAGAGCTGCAGTTCAGTTAGGTGGAGGCCTGCACAGTTCCTGCTTCTGCTCTGAAACATAACTTTTGTGAAAACCTTGTTGACACATTTCACTAAGATATCCTTTATGCTTGGCAATTTTATCTTTAACACTTTTGAACCATCTAGGAACAGATGATACCGCCCTTCTCAGCCCGAGGGCGACTCAGGGCAGTTTACAAATCCGGCACAATTCGATGCCACAATAATATATACAGTTAAAAGCATGTAAACTTCCATAAAATTCCATAAACAATAAAATCAATAAAACAAAAAACACAAATTCTCCGTATCTAATTTCCAGAATCTTTATCCGATTGGAATTATCCAGCCGTTCCGAGGTCAAGTAATTATTTGCTACATTGCATTTGAGAAAGCCTGCTCATAAAACCAGGTTTTGACTTTTTTTCGGAATGTTAGGAGAGTGGGAGCCGATATAATATCTCTGGGAGGGCACTCCATAGCCGAGGGGCCACCACTGAAAAGGCCCTATCTCTTGTCCCCGCCAACCGAACCTGTGATGAAGGCGGGACAGAGAGCAGGGCCTCTCCAGAAGATCTTAAATTCCTGGATGGTTCATAAGGAGAGATACGTTCGGACAGATAAGCAGGGCCAGAACTGTTTAGGGCTTTATAGGCTAACCTTTTCAAACCTTTTAGGAAATAAATCAGTTCAGGCATATATATTATCTGTCTTCCACAGTGAAGACAGACATAGAGAATTAATCCAGCTTCTCTACAGTTACCTTATCATCCTTGAGTACATTTTTAATTCCCTTCTTGGGGAGCCGCCAAAATAGAGATTACACACTGTTGCCTTGTGTGTGTGTGTGTATGCATGTGCCTTCAAGTTGCCTGTTGACTTATGGTGATCCCATGAATTTCATAGTATTCCTTGCCTTTTTAAAGGCAAGGAATACTCAGAGATGGTGTTGCCAGGTCCTTCCACTGAAATGCTTACAGCACCTGGGATTCCTTGGTGGTATCCCATCCAATTACTAACTAGGACTGATCCTGGTTAGTCTACAACATCAGATAGGATCTGGTTTTTGCAGGGTATTTAGGGTAAAGCCGTTGCTAAGTGAAATAAGCTGGACTGATCATAAAAAACAAACAAAAAACCTGACATGTTAGATGGGGCGCATTCCAAAGGGAACTTGTGCTATATGATGTTATCTGATAACACACATAGCTGTATTTTGCTATACTGAACAAGTTTATTTAAGATAACCAGGACACTGCGAAAGGTTTAGAGCTGGAAAAAATGAGTAAATGTAAGAGTGGAAAAAATCCTCTTTGAAGAACTGTTTTTTATAGGCCAGTAGGCTTAAATGTAGAGAGGGAGAGATGCGACTGAAGTTTTGAACAAGATTGGAAGATTTCAGCTACTTGTCTTGCGTTACTGTTTAAAATATTTTATATCATAAATAAGTGTAGAAAACAAAACATGACTATGAACAATCAAGCACTCTGTCAGGGCCTTTCAAAATTTAATTGTACATAGTATTTATTTATTTACAGTATTTATATCCCACTCTTCTCAACCCCTCTTAATTGTCTGTAATGCCTCAAATAAATAGAGAAAAGGATTTCCCCCTGAGATTGTTATTGTTTTAGTTCTTTGTGTTTCATCCATATATGAACAAAAATAAAAACAGAGACAACTCGTATCAAGCACATGCTGGTGTGGTACGCCTAAGATTGAGTTTATAAAAATTCTGCACTGTGACACCCGAAAGATTAAAACAGAAATTATTAAATAAGCTTTCATGGAGTGTATTTCTCAAAGTGCAAGGAATGCCATTTTGAGTTGGCAAATATATATACTATACATATACATTGACCTCATTTATAAGTTGAGAGCTTGTTTTGGGGGGCTAAAACTATGTATTCTGATATGACCTGTTGATAAGTCAAGAATAAAACTATTGAATGTGATCTGTAGGCAATGCTAACATTTTGGATGACTTTGTATTTTATGAGACTTGCTACTTGATTTTTATATTCTACACCTGCTGTCTATTTCTTGCTGCCTCTATATCTCGATGATTTGAATATTATGAAATGTTTTGATGATACCCTTACATTTTTTAGAAGGTAAATTATAAATATTTTTAAAACAGGCTAACAAATAAATGGTTTAGGTTTTAGTGGATATGATAGCAACATCCGACATAAAATTAGAATTATGTAAGAGAAAATGTTTCAATAAATTACCTTGATTTAATAGTAACCAAATTTTAAACTATATCTTGGTTTTTTCCTCAGATTTTGAACCTGACAATTGTGCATCTGTGTGCATCTTCAATGTAGACCACTCATCGTCTGTAAACCATCCTATTTGTATCCCCTGTCATGGATTTCAGTCACACCCATCACCCTTGTCTTCTCCTAATAGACTGCAAGGTCATAAAAGCTACGAAGGAAGCTGTGAAGTTTCAGAATCCAAATACAGTCCACTAGGTGGTCCTAAGCCTTTTGAATGTCCTAGTATTCAAATTACTTCTATTTCTCCTAATTGTCATCAAGGAATAGAAGTCAGTGAAAATGAGATGCACACAAATGGCCCTCAAAATGAATATATGGAAAGGCCTTCAAGGGACCACTTGTATCTTCCTCTTGAGCCATCTTACCGGGAATCCTCCCTTAGCCCAAGTCCTGCCAGCAGCATTTCTTCTCGGAGCTGGTTCTCAGATGCCTCCTCTTGCGAATCAATCTCTCATATTTATGATGATGTGGATTCAGAACTGAACGAAGCTGCTGCTCGATTTACCCTTGGCTCACCTTTGGCGTCTCCTGGAGGTTCTCCAAGGGGCTGTCCAGTGGATGAACCTTGGCAACCATCTTATGGATATGGGCAGGTCTTATCACCTAGGCAATCCCCGTGTCATTCTCCTAGGACTAGTATCACAGATGAGAATTGGCTTAGCCCCAGGCCAACTTCAAGACCATCCTCAAGGCCTACCTCACCATGTGGGAAACGGCGACATTCTAGTGCTGAGATCTGTTACATTGGCTCCCTTTCTCCTCACCATTCTCCAACCCCATCACCAGGACACTCTCCTAGGGGAAGTATAACAGAAGACACATGGCTAAATTCTTCTCTCCATGGTTTGACTCCTGGCCTCTCACCTTTCCAGTGTTGTGCAGAGACTGACATCCCTCTTAAAACAAGAAAGACCTCTGATGACCAGACTGCCATTTTATCAGGGAAAATAGACCTTTGTTCTGAAGAACAGGGCAGTTTATCACCATCCCTTGAAACTGCCATAGATGATAGCTCTGGATCCCAGCATACATTAAAAAAAGACCTGCCTGGTGACCAATTTCTTTCTGTTCCTTCACACTTTACCTGGAATAAACCAAAGCCTGGCCATACTCCTATTTTTCGGTAAGTAATTTTATGATAATGCAATAGGTTTTCTTTATTTTGCGATATTAAGTAGATGTTCTTTTATCTTGAGAGGGAGATTATTAATATACTCTGATGAAATATATTCATTCTATTTAAACCTTTTTATTGTTAAGACTTTCTGGCATCTAGTGCCTGCTAAATTTCAAACAATTATCTAACAATGTTGGAGAACCTTTGGCTTGCCAGATATTGAATTGTAGTTCTTCCCATGCATGACGATTAGCCATGCTAGCTAAAGCTGATGGAGTTTGTAGGTCGGTTTTGTAGGGCCAGTGATTCCACACTCTTCTTACTGTTCTGCAGATTATTTGTGAATAGTCTGTGACTTAATTAATTATTAATAACATTTCATTAGTGCTGATTCCTTGAATGAAAATGAAGTTTATGGGTGTGTTATAGCTGAAACTAGCAAGTTAAGCTGTTTGGAGGCTATTTTATCTAATATTGTTTGGCATAATACTTGAATTCAAATATAATTTGGTGCACAAGTGAGCATTGCAACATCCCAGTTTTGTTCAGCATTTTATTCTGTGGAATGGAAGAGATCTCCCACTTTAACAAGTCATAGGTTAGGATCAAGTTCAGAAGTGGTCAGAATGGGTGGGCTTAGCTGTGGTAAGGAAAGGGACTGGGTTATTGTTTGAGCCACAGTTAAGGTTAATCGCTTTTTGGACCTCTGATGCAAAATTTGAAAATCTAGACTTTCCCTGTAGTTGTTTGTTAGAGAGTGTTATGGAAGGGAAGGTGGTGTAAATGATCTTGAAACTGCTGCATGTAACACTATTTTAGTATGATGTGCAAACTGCATGCTGTGTCTGATGGTAGAGAAGTATTATAGTTTTGCTCTAATTGTATTTCAATAAAAACATTCCAAGATATACAGATTCCATAATGGACATGGTGACACTTCTTTGCATTTTGTGGAGCTACGTAACTTCTTATTGTCTTGGGAGCTGTTTGAAATCCTAAAGGCTAACGAGTTTCTGTAGAAAGGTTGTTACAGATATTTTTAAATTTATTGAAATTTATTGAAATGTGTGGTCAATAATCTGTCAGGAGGAGCCATAAGGGCAATATTCCTGGATACGGTTGTTCTGGAAAACATCCAGTTACTAAAGCAATCTTAATTTGAAAGTCTGTCCTTGCATCAGTACCCCAAATTATAATTTGATTGAATTTGAGTAAATAACTTGACCCAAAGCCAGGAAACATTTTTCAAGGTATGACCTGTTTAGTTCCAATTAGTTGCAGTGAAGCCAATTTTCTCAACCTTTTACATTACTCTTGTCCCACATAAGTCTAGGTGTGAGATAGAATAAGCAGCAGTTAGAACTTAAATCAGATTAAATGTGTTTGCTAGTTCTCACTAGGATTTATTGGATCAATCACCCCCATCCAAAAATAGTACTGTATATGGAAGCTTCTTAAAAATTGATCCTTTTTGAAATCAAATGTCATATTTTGGCGTGAAAATATATTAAGATCATGTAATGATTAACATTCTACCTATTTTGTAACTTATAATAACAGTGGGAGAAGTAGATTGAGAATTTAAAAATTAATCTGTCCTGTAGAGGTTCTGTGGATGTTTAGGCTAAAAAAAGAGAGCAGAATACTTGGAATATTAACATGAATCATGAATATAATCAAGAATGCTACAAAAGAAAAAAACTGAACTGTGCAGGGGGCAAGGACCATTTTTTTTTTTTGCTGTTGTGCTACCCACCTCCCCTTAAAACCATGTTTGTGCACATAATACGAAATCATATTACTTCCACTCACAATTTCCCACTCATATATGGCTTTAAAAAGGCTTTGTGGCGAGGGTTCGGGATCTAGACCTCTGAGTTTGCACAGATAGTTTTCAAATGCAGAATCAGCTGAAGATAACGCAGAAAATGTAAAAGTGCTTTGGGTGGGTTTGGTGGGCTGCAAGGGTGCTTCACGGGATGCATCTCTGGGACACAGGAGTTTCATGCAGCCCATATTTTCCTTATCTCTATTCTAAGTTATACTTCTTTGGCAAATCATGAAGCCATTTGAAGAAAAAAAATGGCTAACCATGGAATTAACTAGAAACTATTTTTGCTAAAAGCACCAGAAGTAGAAAAACAGCCAGTTGGACTGCTTAATTATACAGGTCTGTAGAACATAGTGAACCGCTGGGATTAAAAAACAGAAAAACAGAAAAAAAGTTTGTTTTTTTGGGGCGGGACGAGAGATATTTGACCTATCAATCTGCATCCTAATTCCTGTTGGTTGACTGCTCATGTATTTATTCCACCATCCCCAAATCACTGTTGGCATTGTTTGACTGGCTTCCTTTTATTAGATCACTAGCCGTCCCCCTGCCACACATTGCTGTGGCCCAGTCTGGTGATCTGGAAAATAAAGTAATGAGAAAGTGTTGGTTTCTAATATATGTAATTTCTTTCTGCTTGTGGGTAAACAGTATCTGATTACGTTTTCTTGCCCTGGTGAAGGGAGTTGGACCGGATGGCCATAAGTATTTTCTATTGGTCATAGGGGTTCTGTGTGGGAAGTTTGCCCCAATTCTATCATTTGTGGGGTTCAGAATGCTCTTTGATTGTAGGTGAACTATAAATCCCAGTAACTACAACTCCCAAATGTCAAGGCCTATTTCCCCCAAACTCCATCTGTGTCCCTAGTTGGGCATATGGAATATTCGTACTAAGTTTGGTCCAGATCCATCATTGTTTGAGTCCACAGTGCTCTCTGGATGTAGGGGTACTACAACTTCCAAACTCAAGGTCAATGCCACCAAACCCTTCTAGTATTTTCTGTTGGTCATGGAAGTCCTGCGTGCCACGTTTGGTTCAACTCCATCATGGTGGAGTTCAGAATGCTCTTTGATTGTAGGTGAACTATAAATCCCAGCAACTACAACTCCCAAATGACAGAATCAATTTTTTTGAGTGATGGTGACTCCTTGGGTTAGTAGGTGTCTTGTGGTCAAATTTGGCAGCAATTCGTCCAGTGGTTTTTGAGTTATGTTAATCCCGCAAACAAATATTACATTTATAGAGAGGGGGGTGTGGTGTAGTTTTTGAGTTATGCTAATCCCACAAACGAACATGACATTTTTATTTATATAGATTGCTACTACTATTTCTGATCTGAGAGGTAGAGTCAGTCTGCAGTGGTTAAGCTGCATAAATAAATACTGCAGGCACTGTTAACATATTGTACTTTGTATCTTTAATAGAAATTGTACAGATATTTAGCAGACACAGACTACAATTTCATGTCATAATATCACACCCAGACCTCTTTTTTTTAAATCTGTGTTCAGGATCTTCTAATCTAATCAGTCTGTTCCTGATGTACTTTGTCTTCTCTTCAAGTAACTAGTTCCCTCTTTTCTCTCCCACTTTTTAAGTCAATTTATAATACTTTGTTTCCATTCCATATATTTTGGAACTGAATTTATACCATGCTAGTTGTTGTTTTCACAGTCCAAGACTATAAAATTTTGTTGAGATTGGTCATTTTGGCATAGAAAAGGGAAACATATGTTAGGATTAAATAGGGATGTTGGTATTGCGATATAAGACATCCAGATATACTTGCTATTTGTTTGTGTAATATTTGTTCGTGTAATAATCCCTTCGATCCTCGGGGGAAGCTCTCCTTTCGCCCCTGCCACTTTCACAGGCTTGCCTTGTGGGAACAAGGGATTGTGGCGCAGCTGGCTGAGTGTCAGCTGCATTAAGATCACTCTGACCAAAAGGTCATGAGTTTGAAGCCAGCCTGGGTTGGAGTGGGTTTCCAACCAATTGTGTGTAGCCTGTTGTCGACCTTTGCAACCCGAAAGACAGTTGCATCTGTGAAGTAGGAAAATAAGGTACCACCTTAAAGTGTGGGGAAGCTAAATTAACTGATTTATGAGGCCATAAAGAAGACTCCAGCAAAGCATTCCAGCGGGGAAGCATGCGGGGAATGCGGAAGTGCTTCATCAGCGTTGCAGATGGACGATGAAAGCGACAGCTCCCTGGCGGCCAGAAAAGTTAAATAGCCTCTGTGTATGTCTGTATATGTTTGTATGTCAAAAAAAATTGGCATTGAATGTTTGCCATATATGTAATCCGCCCTGTAATCTGCCCTGAGTCCCCTGTGGGGTGAGAGACTTTGAAACTCATTGCCCGGTGAGGTTAGGCAAGCCCCCTCCTTAGATACCTTTAAAAAGGACCTCAAAATCTGGCTCTTCCGCTGCGCCTTCGGAGAGTAACCGCACAACTAGACATTGCTGCTACTCCTCAACGTTTATTCCTACAGTACACTTTCCCATGCTTGTATGAAGGCCTGTTTTCATGCCCCCGTTTTTATGTGCTCTCCCTTACAAATAATCCTCTCCTTTCGTATCTCACCCTGAGTTTTTAGTATTTTATTCTGTATATATGGCCTGCTTATTGTCACTAGGATTGTGATTGACTCTTACTCTATTGTATATTGTTTACTGTATTCTCATGTTTTATGTATTTTATTGTGTTGTTGTCTTATGCCTTGGTTTTATTTTATTTTATTATAATTATTATTGAGGAGCCCCTAGTGGCGCAGTGGGTTAAACCCCTGTACTGGCAGGACTGAAGGCCGACAGGTTACAGGTTCGAATCCGGGAGAGCGTGGATGAGCTCCCTCTATCAACTCCAGCTCCTCATGCGGGGACATGAGAGAAGCCTCCCACAAGGATGATAAAACATCAAAACATCCGGGCGTCCCCTGGGCAACGTCCTTGCAGACAGCCAATTCTCTCACACCAGAAGCGACTTGCAGTTTCTCAAGTCACTCCTGACATGACAAAATAATAATAATAATAATAATAATAATAATAATAATAATAATAATAGTCTGCTCAAGCTAAGAAAAGCAAAGTTGAATTTCCATACTCGGGAAGAGGAAAGTGTGACTCCAGATGTTGAACTCAAAGTCATATTGCCCACAGATCTTTGTTGTTC